CGTTTTCTCACGACCGAGATTACCACTGAGTGGCGTGTCGTGAGCCTCATAGAGGATGTAATATTTCAAATCCTCATCATGAGGAACCATAATTCGTGGTGTATCCGTTGAATCGATGCTATAATATAGCAACCCGTTATTCAACGAATATCGGTGCAATCGTGCACACAATCTTGATGACAATTTCTTGTCCGAGTTTCCAAAATCCTTGCTCCCTATAGGCCGTAGCAAAGCTACACACATCCCATCACCCGCATACGCGGTGCGGATCAAATCCGTCACAGTTGTAACATGAGCAAGCTCATTGTCTGGTCTGCGTGACAACGCGTCAGCAAAGCATTCTGCTTTCCCGGCTTATACATCACCTCGAAGTTATATTCCGCAAAGAAGGATAGCCATGTAGCCATCCTCTGCTAGAGGTGTAGCGACTGAGTTGCAGTGCGTAATGACGCATGATTCGTGTAGATCTCAAACGGCTTGAAGCCGAGCAGGTGGACTCTGAAATTGACAAGGGCATACTTCATTGCAAGTAGCTTTTTGTCATGAACTAGGAACTTTTTCTCTGCAGCTTTGAGCTGTCGAGATTCGAACGCGATCACCCGATCTCGTCCCTCAGCGTCTGTTTGCAGCAGTGCACAGCCGCTGTCAAAGTTCGAAGCGTCACAGACGACAATAAAAGGACGATCGGGGTCTGGCAACGCCCGTATTGGTGCATGTAGGAGGTTACTCTGTCAAAAGCCTCCTGATGGTCGGTCTCCCAACACCATTCCACATCCTTATTAAGGAGAGTAGACAATGGCCGTGTTATTTCCGCATAATTTGCGCTATACTTGGACAAGGAGTTGGGAGGCCAAGCCTCTTTCGCAAGTCCTTGTGGTGCTTTGGAATCGGCCAGTTCACGATGGCCTTGACCGTAGCGAGAATCGCTCGAAGGCCACGCTTCCCAACGCAGCAACCTAAAAAGGGACTTTTTCCGCGCCGAAGATGCACTTATCGGCATCAGCGTACGGCTTATTCGTGCGCATGCAGTTGAGCACCGCTCTAAAATGGACGATGTGGTTTCTTCATCTGTTCCCCTGTGCCTCGCACAACTGTGGACGAAGATGGCTTCGATGGATGTCTGTTCATATGCCTGATGAGGCCTATACAATTGCGTCACAAGACGATTAAATGTTGCCAGTGTATTTGACAGCCCTTAAAACATCACCAGTCAATCCCAGGGCACCCGCTTGGAGCACTCACCGCAATCAGTGGAATCTCACTCGCTCTCATGAGCAATTGATAAAAACCATCGATCAAGTCGATGCGCTGTACTTTGTACAGCTAACCATATTGTTTTGGAGAGTATCCTTTCTAGGAATCGGCGTTTGTGCCGGAACGGTGGCAGCGTTGAGCTTATTATAAGCGTGAACAATACGCCACTTGAAGTTCGGCTTCCGGACACAAAACGTGGGTGTCAAATGGGAGGACTTGCTTTCACGCACCATTCCTGCCTTGTGCTTCGCACGGAAAAAGGCGTCAATGACGTCACGTTGCTCTTTGGGCAGGGTCCATTGGCGTGTTACTCAGTAGTTGGTTCCTGAAACCAGGTCAAGTCATGACGCATATCTCGGTCCAGAGGTAGGACCGACGGTGGGTCTTCGGAGACGACGTCTTGGATAATACGGATCCGAAGGATCTTTCAGGATCGACCCTCAACTTCGTGCGTTCAGCAATCTCTTAGTGTCTTCCGGGACAGCTTCAACCAGAAGCGACGACGAGTGAATTTCCTCATTCGGTCTTACAATGACCACCTCGGCTAAATTGCCTGCCTTCAAGGTACCGCTAAACTCTTCAAGGGACATCTCGTCCGGCTCAAGAAGAGCATTTACCGCGGGAATAGCCTCGACGGTGACGTCGTCGTCTTTATATCCGTTATACCGTTGACAAGGGTATTTAGCTGTGCGCTATCGTCTACGGTAGACTAACCCTGGGTCAGGGTCGACGCCCTGCGTCTTGCAAATATCATACAGCTTCACCGAATCCTATCTATAGAGGTTTGACGTCCCATCGAGACCAGTGGGAACACGCACTCGGAGTCCCCACTCTCTGCTCCATTGGAGCCTTGATTATATTAACAACATCCGACGATCGGCTGCTATTTTCTTAGTCTTCGTCCCGTGGATAATGTGCCACTCTACCCGCATCAGAAGAGCCTTGTCCAGGATGCCTCGGACCTCGTCCGATTATGGCACTCTTGGCATGCAGCAACTGCTTCGAAACGTGAGCATTGTTCCACGCGCATCACAAGGGTCTCGTTCTCGATGCATCGGCTCTTGGCCGACCATAACACTCTTGGCATGCAGCGACTGCTCCAATACTCGAGCAGCGCTCAGTAGGCTACATGCCACTCCACGTTTATCCCGCGAGCCACGCTCGGGACTCTTGTCCAACTCTTGTCCGATACCTTCGGTGTTCGACAACTCGGATACTCCGAAATCTCAAACATTGACCGTCCCGGTCCAGTGCTCGCGCCAATAGCGCTTCTGCTTCCTAGCAGAGGTGGGTTCATGACTCACCAAAGCTCCGCCAGGAGAATTGTGCGTAGCGCCCAAGGTCTTTGACCTCCAATCGATCCATGGCTCATGGTGTTCCAACCGTGCAATACCAAGGGTAAGGTCATACATCGCATCCAAGTCTAAGACTAGGCAGCGTTCCACGCTATCAAAGTCAAGGAAATTGACACCGAGGTCCACAGAGACCTTAGGCACAGTGACACAAGTCCTCGTCGCTAAGCGAACAGTGACGATGTCACTCAACCGCGCTTCCAGCCCCTCAGCATACAGTCAACTTCCTTCGATCGTGGAGCGTCGAGCATAATCGCCCGATGCACCAGAATCGATATGGATTTTCATGGCTTATTAAAGCCCTTCACGGTCGCTTTTACGACCAGCAAGCCCAGCTTGCACATATGTTCTGTGTTCAGGGGTACGCAGCTCTTCTTAGCTGGGCCCTGCTGCCCTATACCTCTTTGAGCTGCCCGACAGGGCAAAAAGGAGTAGGTGGACTTTGTTTAAGAGTTGCGTACTATCATTGCCGAGATGGCAGCCGATCCTCTCACCGAGGCGGTCATAATGACCGTCTTTATGGAGGGCCTCCGCACTGGTGTGGTCAGAATGGAAGTTTTCTGTGTGCATCCGTCTATTTTTGAAGAAGTGGTGAATGTGGTATGCCGAAATCAACTTAAAGTCGGCACGACTTTGTTAGAATGTACACCCTCGGAGTTCGTCGAGCGGGCCTGAATCAATGGATCTCAGCTATGCTGAGAAAGAGGAGGGAGAGCTTCGAGCTGCGGGCAGCGTTTTAACAAAGTGTTTTGTCTAAAAAGACACCCATTACCTTCGGACTCGTTGTCCCCTGCGCAAGGCGCGTCAAGGTTCATCGAATCGACGTCCCGCTTCTCATCAGTCTGGTTTGTCGCGGGAAAACGACAAACCTAGTAGGCGCGGGGCGTCCTACTGTGATATAACGAGCTTCAGCTCTGTCCAGAAAGGGGAACGCCGCTTCAACCAAAGTACCGCACGTTAGTGCCCATTCTCGAGCTCGGCCCCCTGGCTTGGAAATAGCTAGCGCCACGCGTTTTGGAGTATGGCGGATGCCATAGCCGTCTCGGCCTCTCAACTAGCGACGGAGATTCTCTTCATCCTTATCCTCGAAGGTCTTAGCGCTCATCATGAGCGACCTGGGCTAGGAGGAGCCATCCGTCGTCGACGCCGACATCTTCTTCTCTAGGTGCTCTAGGAGAGCGTTTTCATAGTTCGTTAACGCTTCAAGGCGCGCTATAATCGCTTCGGGTCCTTGCGAAGCAAGGTGTTGCATGCCCAGGGGCAAATAGGAGATTTTCTCCATCCTCATAGAGGGCCAGTCGTAACAATTCAGGCGCAGATTGACTACGAGTGCTATCAAGTGCAGTGGGGCTGCCGTAGCTCTTTGCTTAGAGACAGATTACTTTAGATCACCGACCTTCGTTCTATACAGAACCAGTACGAGTGTAGTGGATCGCAATCCGCTATCTCCAAGAGTACCCAAAACCCTAACCAAGGTAAACACTGTCACATGTTGCTTCAAGCGCTTGCAGAGGTACTACGGCGTGTTAGAACTATCGAGACGCATCATGTTGACACGACGACGGCAAATGCATTCAGACTTTTATCACGCTGTCAGCAGCTGACTTCTTTACGGATGGTGAGAAGGCTGGCATCATCTAGACGTTCGGCTATTCCTTCCTCACCAACCCCTGGGATGGCGTCAGCAGGACGCGAGGGTGAATCAGCCCGTTCACGTCGAACGGCGTGTAGCTGGTAGACGACTCACACCACCTTGTGTACCCACCCCTGTATACTAGGGTACTTGTACATCCGAGCACTGCAGATCGAACAAATAAATACATGTCCAGTTTTGAACGGAAGAGTCGTACAAAGGCGTGGATTACACAAGTCGGTGTGATCACACAATAATGTGGCTAAACCGCTATATCCAAATCCTTGGTTTCCTAATTAAATAGTAAGACCTAATTATTATGCATAACTACTAGCAATTTCGCCTCTTGTTAGATGTAAGCAATAGTGAACTGTGTATTTATATCATAATGCAGCTAGAAAAACCTTCAAGTTGTTTTTAGACATCTAGCATCGACCTCTGGCCTTTGCCTTTTTAATACTTCAAAAAGAGACCTTTGACACTGCGTTTTGTAATTGATTGATTGCCCCTGCGTTCATTTTGTTCTTTCTTGTACCACAAGTTTTGTGTAACTGTGGTGAACTTTGAATTTCGAAGTACTCTATAAAAATGTTTTGAAATCACGGAAACGATTCAAGTTTAATAAGTTATTCACCAGATTTTGTATAAACGCAACCTTTTCACTCATAATATCAGGAACCTGTAAACATTTCACCTATTCGAGCTCCAAGTCGCCTTCTTCGTGCAGTAAGATGGCTGCAACCATCTTAAGTTTTTTCTCTGTCTGTTTATACAAGCCTGTTATAAAGACATTATAATATTCAGACCAATAGTCGTTCAAACCCGGTTGTGTGCGCGGAGACTGCGCGTGAGCTCGTAGTCGGTAGATACGAACTGCGCGTGCGAAGCAGCATGGCGCTCCTGCAACCCGCGCATTATTTCCTGCATGATGGCTTCGATATGTCCGAAGGTTTCTACCACGTCAAGCAACACATAAGCTCCAAATTAAAATCCACACTATTAGTTACTGACCCTCGACAAGAGCCTCCACTTGTTCCTCCTGGTCGCGTTTGCGCTTCCTTAGTGTCTCTAGATGTCCAAAGCACTTAGCCACGTAAGGCGTCAGTTGCTCGATATCATTGCTCAATGACTGTGAGTGATCAACACTCTCACAATCCCTTGTTGTGGGATTATGCGTGGACGCGATATCCTCTTCTTTCTCTTCTCCTTCAGTTGCCACGTTGTCCCCGCTCGACAGCAGTCCTACCTCGTTCTCCTGTGTTTCATATGCTTAGGTCACAACTCTGAGCTTCTTCGCGTATCGATTCAGTTAGTAATTACGCAGATTCGTGGCATTTCCTGTTGCCTTGCCTTCGTCATGTTTTTCTAGGTTGGCAAAACGTAATGAAGCACCGATATGCAAAAAAAATTGTGACCTTCACTCATACTTCAACTTGTCAGATATCGAGGAAACATGATTATATTATTGCTAATTTGCGTCGCCCTTGTCGCCAAGCCCGTCGCTAATCTTGTGATCCATGTTCCTATTCTCCGAGTCCTCCGCTTCTTTAATCATTCCTAAGAAATTTGCGTCGACCGTGCGCAACAGCTCCTCCATCTTATCGTCTTTGTAGTTTCCGCCACGATCATCAGTCGATCCTTCTGTCATCAAGGCCATCTTTCGTCGCAGCTCCTTTTCTTTGGCCTCCAAATTTTTCTCTCTTTTCGCTTCGCGCTCAAACATACCGTTCATAGCAGCTTTTTCATTAAGTTGTGATACAGCAAGGCCATCAGACAGCTCCAATAGTGTGATCATACCGTTGCAGTCCCCCACAGCAACAAGCTTACCCCCATATCCAGCGTAACCCTGCACAGTGATGGATGATAGCGCTACATCTCCAACCTTGTGCGAGTACGCCACCTCATTTTGTCGATAGAAAAAGTCCCAGATGTCCACTACGCCATCCATTCGAGTAACAAAGAAGACTCCCGCTCGTGTAGGCGACCAGCAGCCTGCAGTAACATACGAGTCGTGATATATCGTGCTCATGATGGGAGTCTTGAGATCCTCGCACCATAAGCGAGCAGTCCAATCACCGATGGTGAGAAAGAATTTGTTGTGCGTCGGATTGCGCTGGATGGCACTTACAGGTCCGTGATGTTTTCCTGCTCCAGTGTCATAAAGTGTGATGCCATTGTTCTGCTTAACGTTTCTCATGTTTACACTAACAACGGCACCTTGCTCTGTCCCCACAAGGTATTTAGTAGGACCAGCTTCCGTGTTGTACTCCAAAGACGATCCACCGAATGCCACACCATCCTTATCGGTCAAAAGCAACTTTTGTGTCGGCTGAGCGAGATGACGAATGTCCCACCAAAGCATCCAGCCATCAGTTGAAACAGAGCAGCACTGGTTTCCCGTCTTGCTGGAAACCCAAAAGATGTCGTAGACGGGGTCGTGATGTGAGTGCTCGATAGTCGACGATTCTGCAGGAGTCGAGCCAGACTTGCGGAGATCGAAAAAAGAAACAATTCCATTGTACAAGCCACCAACTAATTGGTCAACGGATTTGGGGTTGTACCTCATACACACCAACGGGGAGGCTGGTTTCAGAGTGGTCTCAGGTATGTTTGGATTTAAAACATCCCAAATATAAGAATTGGCTGGAAGCCGTGCCGATGCAAACTTGGGATCCTGAAAATTTAGGATGCAGTAACACGCTGCCATTTTTTGCGGACTTTCGGGATGCCAGTCAATCTGCGAAATTGTGCGCTTGACCGGCTCAGGATCGCGAAAGACTGCAAGACCCTTGGCACTAGGCTGTTCGGTCGTGGCTGCCTCGCCCATGTCTGCAAAGTAGTCCTCATAAATATTAATGGTGTTGTTCTGCTTGAGTGCGCGTTCCACTATCGGTCCAAGAGCCTTAACTGCTTGCTTGTAATCGTCATCCTTCTCCGCTTTTTTTCGAAATCGCTGCACGTCGCTCTGTTCTGCCGGATCTACATCCTTTGGCCATCCACCCTCCACGTGGCGCATACTGCTGTGCTTAGTCACTAGTCTCTCTGTATTGACCTCGTGCTCCGACATGTGTGGCATCGTGTCGAGCCTAGTCACCATCGGTCTTCGCCTCACGTACTCATTCTCCAAGGAATCAGTGTCCGGGATACATTCAAGCACCTGGGCATCAACATCGCGAAAGTCGCAATAGCGTCCAAAGCTTTCGCGCTTTTTTGTGTACAAGTAAGCGAGTTCCATGTTGATTTCTTGGCGTCAAATGAAAAGTGAAGCAAAGATCGCGTCTTTTCACTTCCAACTGTAGCCACAAACTCAGCACAATCGGATTAACTGGTACAGCGCAATTAGACTTTAGACTAAATAAAGCTATAGAAAACTAGCATAACCCATGTAAGTTTTCAATTGCTCGTGCTTTTCGTTTAACGCACTCCACGACATAACAGAAGGAGAACTAAATCTTTAAAGCAAGTCTTACACAACCATGATATTCGCGACACTGTATCACTACTAGCAGATTGTGGCGCCTATGCGTTTTTCTTCATCTCCTCGCGACGCTCTATATACGCTCGCAACTCTTCCACCTCTGCCAAGTCTCGATAGTATTTATTTTGCATATAGCTGCCCAAACCAGCGCCGATGCCCATAAAGAACACGTGCTCCCACGGATCTAGTACGGAGAAAGAAGAATAGACATACAGAACCAGCAATTACCTTTATCAGACACAAATTAGGTATGGAAAGAAGTTTGACGTACGGCGCATATATGGAACCTTTTGCAGTACGTTACTGCCGAGTTTGGTGGAAAGGCCAAAGAGGGTGCCGACCGTAATGCCTGCGAGACCCATCCTATTTCTGCAAATTGCCTATATTTAAGCTGGTGCGTGGACGCGTGTGGGCTGAAGGTACCTAACGCTTAGAGCAACATTTACAACGGCTGGTTGCGACTTTGTAAATTCAAAACCTGTGCCAAAGAGCGTCTCGGCATGAGCGACATGGAGAGCAGCAAGAAGCGCAGCAGCAGCAACTATGAAGATCGCGTAAAGCACATTTCAGTTATTGCCAAGCCACTTGCCTCCAAAAAGCAAACTAAGCGTGCTTACAAGGTCGTTAAACGGGCCACGAAAGTCAAGAGCATCAAGCGTGGTGTGAAGGAGGTAGTCAAAGGCATCCGAAAGGGTGTGAAAGGCTTGTGCATCATTGCTGGCGATATTTCGCCCGTAGACGTGATTTCACACATACCCGTGCTTTGTGAAGAAAATGATATTCCATACATTTTCACCCCTTCTAAGGTGCGTCCCCGCATTGATCATCTCAGTATCGAAATGCTAGTGCTAATTTTTCATTGCAATTGAATGTCTTGCAGGTAGACCTTGGTGCGTCGGCACTGTCCAAAAGGCCCACAAGCTGCATTTTGATCACGCCTGACAAGGCAGGATTTAACGCGAAGGAGGTCTACGACGAATTACTCAAAGACGTGAAGCAGGTGCAGCCAACTTACTAGTATCCAAACTGCTGTTTCTACGCTTCCGCGTCAAAACCCATACTTTAAATCTTGTTTACATATGCCACTATTTTATGATCTTGCATGCTTACTGAAGTGATTTCACATTGAGCAGTTGATTGCAAAACGATGAATTAATTAGCAGTTTTGGAATCGTTAATCGGGAATTTTGGCTTATGCATTTTGGTCTGAGCTGCGTAACATTCTAACAAACACTGAACGACTCAATCAAAACAATTTTCGAAACGCTGTGTTACTTAGTTCGTGAAATGGAACTCAAACCTTGCAAAGTGCTCATCATAGGTAAGCTTAACAATCTGCTAGAATAAGTCGCGAAAGAGGTCGCTAGCAATGTCCTCCCAGCTTGTTAGGTTCGCTGCCTGAGGAAAATAATAAAAGAGACTCTTAACTGCTCGGCTAGGATGCAAAAGCACAAGTTGTAAAAAGCGTTCCCGCAAGCGACGTCGACGCAATGGGCTAGCCGCCGTATCCCGATGAATGTAATTTTGCCAGTACTCAGATGCCAGTGTTTCTTTCCACAGTTCACGATCGCAGTGCTGTAAGCGAAGTACATGACCAATTTAGCAATCAACATCGTACAAGCAGTAACAAAAGTGTTACACACCAAAGCAGCAAAGAATACAGCAACCAAATCGAACAGCGGATCACCAGTTTTAGCGTCTGCGAAATCTATCACAGTTGTCGGAGTCCAGTTGATCAATCCAATGTATCGTTCCTTGCGCTTTGCTTCGATAGATGTTGGTCCAACAGAGGTGGGGTCGCTTACTTCGTCCTCATCGGAGCTGTTGCTACTACTACTGCTCGATTCCCAGATCTCTTCAATATTTGGACGATCGTTGCTTCCATCATCTTCAATACGAGCAAGAGTGGTCACAGGTATTTTTCCCTTCAAGATTGCAAGACGAGGTCCTAAAGGAACACCCAAATCCTTTAGATGAGCCTCACTTAAAAGGCCTAAGGATTCAAGTGTCAACTCCTCCTGCTCTACAAGTAGCGGGATATATTTTTGGCACCCCACAGAGGTCAGGAAAGATGACAAACTCGAAAAACGGTCACATGCGTCATTTTCTATAGTTGACATGGCGATATCGGATTGTGCATCATCAAGCACGTCTCCAAGGATGTTTTCGTCAGTCAAGTCACCGTGAAGTAACACAGGTTTCACATCTGACGGCCGTATAGGAAGCAGCTCCGAAACGATAGCATCCTTATTTGCAGCAGGAAGAAACTTTTCGAGTAAATTTAGCAAGTGAGCAGGAAGACCAGTTTCTGTCAAGTGGACTACAAAGCAGCACCATAAGCAAATTTGTTACCTCGTTACGTTTATGATAACACACTTACACGAAACGGAACGCTTCCGTTGACGAAGCAAATAATGGATATACCAGCCCCACTCAGCCTTACTGTGGCCATACAATCCTATGAAGCTGGAATTTATAGGTACGGCGTGAAGCTTTGGCAATAGTTTTCGACCGATCCAACTCGCCAAAGTTGTCCAGGATGAACGCGTGGCACCTCCCTTCTTCGCAATCGACTTAAGGCTGACACTGCTGCTCTTGTACTCGATGACAACGTACGGCCATCGCCACACAGGTCCTTCCTCATCGCCATGTTCAACTTCGTCCAAATAGAAAAGATGTCCAGAGTGATACAGGCGGGGAATCGCTGTTCGGAGCGAGTCTTGCTCATCATTTGAGCTCGTCAAAACTTCTATCATTTCATAGACAGCCCTCTCAATCCGAAAGCACTCTTCCATAGCGTAACGCAAGGACATTGTGCTCTTGAGTTCATGAGGTTGCAAAGAATTCTGCTTGCGACGCTTGCATGAAGCTTGAATATCACTTTCAGCAAAATCAAAATTTGGAGTCATGTATGTCTCAAAATCGAATTCCCCCCAATTTTCATTGTACTGGCTAAAAAACTTGACAAGCAAGCGGTTTCCAATTGCAAATGTCGGATTTACGCGGGACGTAAGGCTCTTCATTTTTGAGTATTTCATTTTCGTCGCAGAATTTGTTGAGTCATTGGTCCTACTTGGTTGACCCAGTGCCTTATAGCGCTTCAAAATCCTTTTTAAATAAGGTTTCCAAAATTCAAGAATGTGAAACGACCGCTGATACATGTCCTCGTCCATGTACCCGCGCGCTCGATAAATCTGAGCGATACGAAATAGGTCAAATATTTCCGGTCGGGTTGCCCGCAACTTGTGCTGAAGCATCATTAATCGTTCGTCTTGTCCATGGAAAAGACGGTCCTTGATGAACATCATAATATTGTGAGAATCCACGAAATTCTGGGTAACTGCAATCGAAAAATCTAAATTCAACACAAGATGCCACCATCCGTTAGGGACATATATGGTTTCGCCCTCCTCTTGAATGATCTCAAGCGGCTTTTCCGCCGGAGTAAGTGTGGGGTATATGTGCAAAAACCACATAAGGGACGGCATGTCCAGCGCACTTTCACGGTACTCGCCGTTTTTGCTAACGAACACACCCGGTGGAGGAGACTCTGGCGGATAAATTGCCCATCTTTTACGTCCTTTAATCAGCGAATTCCACGCAGACGTTCTAGCAGGATCCTGGTGCCACGAAGCACCGGTGCGTTGAGGTCCGATGACGATCCATCGAAAGTCTGGTCTTTTAGACATAGCCGTACGCTTTAAAATTTTGTGCTTTCTCGATTTCTTACCCCCTGCCTCCAGCTTCACACCTTTTACCGTCTCCGCCATACCAGCATCTAATTTTTCATTCTTTGGACTGGAAATGACACTCAAAAAGTCCTCCTTAAATACCTTTAAATCTTCAATATTGTAGTCTTCCAGCATTGTTGGCATCTTTTCACCGAAACGAGCATCAAAAATATATAATGGTGTCTCGTCATTCTGCTTGCTAGCATAGTTGAAATAGTCCGCAAAAGTCATTTCTATTTTTGAACTGCCTGACGTGATGTCCAAATTGTGCGTGATGCGATGTTTGATGTCATCTGAAAACCTTTGAGCCATCTTTTGAGTCGTCCACTATCTCACGCAAGCTAGTCAATATTCTTATGTTGGCAAGATTCAATTTCGCCTTTCTACCTCTGTCGATGCCTTCCACTTGCCGATAGCATTTCGAATGATAAATGGCATTCTTGAATATTGCCTAGTATCAAATAATAAATGGAGTAAGTTATTGACTTGAACAGTACCAGTAAAGTCCTTCCACAAACTCATAAAAGTCTTTGAACGTCAGGTCCTGAATGTCAATCTTCTGCAGCTTGCGAATTGTCGGATCTTGCAGCTCGCTGGGGATCAAAAATGTGTCACCTAGCTCCATGTGGCAACGGCACCAGCGGCGATACAAGAAGTCTGAGCTGAATCCCTTGATGACCACAGGACGGAATACCTTTTCGAGCTGCTCCAGCGGCCGCGGGTCTTTCGGGTAGAAGGTTGTGAGTTTCCAGTTGTGGTGATACGAAAAATCGCCGTTGTGAAGACGCAGACACTGGCCCATCCAGAGCGGATCCTCCTGGCAGAACACATAGAATACTGAAGTGGAGCTGGATTTAAATGCCGATGGGCGCACTGATGGAAAGAATGGACGAACCAGAATTTACTTCTGATAGCTGTAGTAAATCATTGGGCTCAAAAAACAGTGTAAAATATACGATGAGCTCATCCGATAGGTTTGCGAAGGGGCTAGTGGCGAGTGCCTGATGAGTGAACATCTAGCTTTTGCTACAAATTTTACAATTGAGACTTTCATATAATTGTGACAAAAATAAGAGCTGCACAAAATCGAAAACACAATTACTTCACAATATTGATTTTCCCGTACTCGCGACGCTCAAATTTACTGAGCTAGCTAGTACCATGGTGAATTATTACAACGGAATTGCCATTTATGTTGCAGCAAAGTCCGCGTTAACAAGATTAAGTTCGTACATCTTTAATTATGGTGATCGATTGCTGGTTACTCAATTCACAATTCAAAAATAAAAAGTTGAAATCTAGGAAAAAGTGGCATGAAGCAAAATTACCATCGAATATTTTAAATCAAATAATTGTTATTAGAAAATATTTAATTTATAATAAATCCATATTATTTATCATTAGATAACATCACATTTTACACGTATAC